GCCCCTGACCACCGCCCCCGTCCCCCGGCCCCATTATAACAATAGCTTCTATCATTGTCCACAGAGCATGGAGATTGTTGGCCCTTTGATGGCCCAGGTCATATCTTAGCCCACACCTTTTTATCAGATTCTGAAACTCCAGGAATTATCCACTTTGACAAGGGAGAACATTGGTCGACTGCATACAAAGGTAACTTTATGTGGTGGGAGTGCTAAAACCAGGAGCTTGGGGGTTGGTATTGATGATCTCCATTTGGGCTGGAAATATAGTAAAGGAAGTAAAGGAAAGGTTTCAGAGTTGCCAGGAACATCTGGCTGAGAAATTGGGTCTCCTATTTGGGGGACGGGGTGGAGGGGGTGGGAGAGGTGGGATCATTTCTGAACAAAGATGTTTCTATAATAAACACATCATCATACAGTGTTTTCTCTATCTCTGAGCTTCCAATCATCAGCCTCTTAAATTTCTCCATGCTTTGTGTTCATTTCCAGTTTATCTATCTATATAGTTTGCTATTTTATTTCACACTTAGATTTTTTCCCTCTCTGCCTACTTTTTTATATCTTTTTTTTTCTTGTACTCTTAACATTTGTTTTTCCCTCCTTTTCTGTTCTCTCTTTTTTCCCCCTCTTCTTTTTCATACACATAATCTGCCTTAAATTTTATCTTTTTGTCTGTGCCTTTTTCAGGTTTTAATCTGTTCCTGGTTGCTATTCATGAGCTAGGTCATTCTCTGGGCCTGTGGCACTCCACGAGTCAGAACTCCATAATGTATCCCAGATATGTGAATCAGAACCCTAAAACTTTCCACCTTGATGTTGATGATATCCAAAGAATTCAGCAACTATATGGTCTATGCCCACTGGAAGGGTGGGGATCTGGGCAGGAAAATCCACTTAGAGTTTACTAATTTCTTCTGTCTCCATTAGGAGAAAGGTGTTCATCTGAAATTCCCTGATGCTGGCACAGAAAAATCATTCAACCTGGCCTTTTGGTGGCTTCCTTGGAGGATCAGAGAACCCAAAGCAGTAAACGAGCCTTGAAGACTGCCTGAAGTAACCCCTAAACAATGAAACCTAGTTGGGGTCACTGAGTCAAAACTTCTGGGTTACACCAAAGATGATTTTTAAGAGTAAAATTTTGTTATTACAATTTGGTATATCTCAGTATTTGGCATGTTTAATCACTGTGATGAGACAGGAGAGAAGAATATAGTAGAGTGGAGAATTCTAGTATAAATGGCTGTGGAACTCTTGAATTAATTGAAGAGATAAGAATAAATAAGATTAAGAATAGACCATTTTAATACTACATGGGTAGAGTTTGAGGAATGTTATTTATGCTGCATTGAAGATTGAAGTTATTAGAGACCAACTGTTAGAATGGTGGCATATCCACTTACTATCTCTGAGGCTTTGGGCAAGTTATTTAACCTCAGTTTTACATTTGTTGAATAATTGTAATAACTTTATCTACTGTCATTGGGCAAAATTATATAATAAATCTATTTAATCAGTGCTTGGCAGCACAATTTTTAGGTATTAACATTGTTAGCAAGATATTTGATTAAAAATATGCACTGCCTGCATTTAGAGAAAGAAATCCTGGGTGGAAAGTATGAGATGAGTAGAGCAATAGAAGCCACGAGGAGATGTACAAGGTATTAGACCGAAGGGCTATCCTACTCACTTGACCAGTCTCAAGCACTAATCTTCCTATTTTAGAATGAAGACAATTAAGAGAATCCTCTGACACAGGGATTATTCTGCCTCACACAACATTCCCTTGGTAATGAGAAGCCTGAAATGAGGAAATTGAGTTTTGGGTGGTAAGCTGAAATAAAGACGTCTGCTAGGGAAGGGAAGCTAGTACATTATATAGATTATTTCGAGAATAGGTCAGGAAAGATTGCACTAATGAGGGTATAAGAAAGGAGAAAAAAAGAAAGTCATAAAAAATTTTATAAAGGAACTATTTTAATATTATTTTCATTACAAGAGAAAATATAGCTAATATATTCAGAAGAATCCATCTGTTTTTGAAAATACAAAGAGTATTTGAAAAAACTCAAGTTACTCTGCATAAAATGATAATTTTGAGTTCCTAAGAGCAACTGAAAGAAAGCAGATGAAGATGAAGACAGTAAAAATTGATGAGAATCCTTTGAGTCATGGAATATGACATGAATGGGATCTCTGTGATTTTCATTAATTTCAAAGGTCCATTTCCCTGAAGTCGTACCTTTCTCAGGGCATCCTACATTAGATGAATGGGTGAAGGTGGAAAGTGAATGCCCCATCGTTTTCACCTGAAAACAGAGATTCTTTGGAGTAATGCAGCAGAGAGCCCCAGTGTGTTGGCCGTGGCCTTGTCAGGCAGTTCAGCTTTTCTCTTTGCCCAATGCTGCTTTCTCTCTCTTCCTCTCACAGGCATTGATTCCTAATAAATACTGAGGGACTTATAAGGACTTTATTTTCATAACTTGCTGCCCAACATTTGGATTTTTGCAACTTAAGCTCTGAAGCTGCTTGCAAGATGTGACTTTGGGCTCTCAAACTTCCTACAGAGTGAGCGGCCCCCAGTGCTGATTGTAGTGTTTGATAAACTGTACTCCTTACATCATTGGCAAATGCTACTCCCTGCACTATAATTGTGTGATCAAAAAACAGAACTAAGACATCGACAAATGCTTAATTATATATTACCCATTGTTCTCATCTCACAACCCCACTTGCTTGACCACTGAGTTAGCCAACCATTGAAAGTACAGTTGTCTCCACCAATCAGAAAGTGAATGATGTAAGTTTATAGTCTTGTTTCTCCTAGCAACCCATTTCTTTGATCATCAGCTTCGTAACAACTTTTGCCTTTAAAAAACCTTGCCTATCCCCTCCATTATGGAATGTATTCTCAGTTCATACCAGGTCAATGTTTCCTGGTTTGCAAATTATTATCCGAATAAACTCTTTTTTAATTTCTTAAAAGGACCCTCTGGACTTTTGTTTAAAATACTTTGCATCTCAAGTTCTGGCTTACTATCTGCTTCTAGAGAACCCAACTTTTGATAATCGACTTCTTGAAAAGTTTATGAGATTATTTATCTATTGTATGATTGATAAGTATAAAAGAGATAATGCATATAAAACCAACATCGATAATGGAAAAGGCAGTATCGACATTCCTGAAAAATCACAATGATATATTATGAGTAAATTTTAGCTAATAAATATCAAAGTGTATATCTAAAATCCATATTCTTAGATAAACGTGACTTACAAAAATAAGCAAAAGGATAAATAGAAAATCTAATTAGCCTTATAAATGTTTAAAAATGTAGTCTATAATTATATCTCTCTACTAGTAGTTTCAAAACTGACAAAGGAGAAAATCCGATTTGTCCCTTAACTATTATCTATCAAAACTATAGTTAAAAACTACCATGCATAGCAATTTAACTTAATAAAAATTGAGAGCAAATTGCACCAGAGATCTTAACCAGTACAATAAATCAAGTGTTTATAAGACCTCACATTTAGTTTTCCTTTTTTTATAATGCAAGTGTAAGACTTAAGTTTTGATTACAAAGGTATCCACTTCAGAGTAGCATTCATTTTAAAGATGGCTATCTCAAATAAACACACTGTGAGTCACTCAACTAGATAAAGAGCCAGACCATCACCCACACCATAGGCTACTTAGATAATTGACCATTTGGGACCCTTGTTTTTTCTCTTTTTACACTTTAAATTCCTGCTATTGTGTTTTAAATTCACAAATAAAGAGAAAGCCTCAAAACCCTAGGCTCCCACCTTGATCTCAATAAAAATGGAACCCCAAGCAGAACCCTAGGCCTATGTCCAATCTCCCCCATTCCACCCTCATGACTGATAGGTGGCCCTGAGTATATCATGTAATTTTCATAACTTGTAAGTAATAAACATTTTTTTTTTTTAATTTACTGATGATTATTGCTGAAGGCATCTTACAATCATAATAAGAATCATAAGGGCTGGTCCAGCCACACCATTTGTTATAGATAGGCTGATGCTGGCACATCACATCACTAAATATAATAAGAAAGTTCTTTCTTACATTGGCTTACTGCAGCTCCAATCACTGGCCTTAGGGTCAAGATAGCAGAGTAGGTAAACACAGTGCTTGCCTCATCACAAAACCATATCAAAAATTACATCTAAATTATAGAGCAACCAACCTTAAAAATTACCTGACAGCTAGATGAACAGAAGTCTTATAACTAGTGATATAAAGAAGCCACATTAAAACTAGTAGGAGGGGTGGAGATGTAAAATGAATTGGCCCACAGCCACATGTGGTAGGGTAGGAATTGGGAGGGATGTCTCAGCTGCAGAGGTCCCCCTTGAGGAGCAAGAAGCCCCAGCCCCACATTGGGCTCCCAAGCTCATAACACTTGTGCCAGGAAGAG